TATATATATATATATATATATATTATTTTTTTTTTTTTTATTTCAACAAATTCTACTAGTGATATCAATAATCTATAAAATGACTCTTATGATTTCAATGTACAGAAATATGGATTTGTTATAAAAAGTTTAGATAAATTTTATAGCATATAGAATAAAACTAAATGGCTGGGCATTTTTATTACCTTCTCTTGAATGTGGAGAGACAACCCCCTTGTCTGGCCTTACTATGTCCTGCTGTTGAAGAACAACATCTCCTGGAGGAGTGTGGGCTGCAAGTGATACAAAACTACTGGAAGCTTCAGATTTCACCTTGCTATGGTGCGTGTGGATTGGGGGAGGATTGCCTGTTCCTAATGGAACAGTTCAACACAAAAATTATTAGATATCACCCATGCTTCTAGTCACATATATTACATTATCACTGGAGAGCAGTACAGTTTAAAAAAAAGAAGTTTCTTGTCTTATTGCCTTACTTGATTTGAAACTTTGTACATGCATATCAAAAAGTTAAAGGAATTTAGACAGAATATGAAACATTGCACAACTATCATCATCAAAACATTATGTAAAAAACTGAAAATAACCAAAAAAAACAGCCATGACAGAGACTACAATATCTAAGTATATTTCTTCTTTTTTGTCAAATGATATAAATTCTCTAAATATTTAAGAATTAATTAGAGTAAGTTAGAAAAAAAAAAAGATGTATTCAATATCATTAGCAATCAGACTATCCAAATGAGATTCAATGTAATCTAATCATCACAGGTTAATTTTTTTCTGGTGTACTGATTGATGACATTAAGTCTTCTTTCTAGTCAGTATGTTATACAAGATTGTTTCCATTATTTTAAAGGCTATTTTTGTAAATTACCCTGATTCTGATCAATATAGTTAGTCTATTTGTAATCAGAAGCTTTAGCAATTAACTTATGAATATTTTGACTCATTTAAAAAATTTTTTTGACACCAGACCTGAATGTAAGGAGAAGGATGGACAGGCATAACCAAAGATAAATGTAAATATTGATTTAAATTTTACCTTAATTTTAAAACATAGATATTAAATCTGATAACTACATCAGGTAGAACAATCAGATAAAATTCCACACTAACCCTAAAATTCCTAGTTAGGTCTATACAGTCCCTATCAACTCTTTAAATTTTTTTATAAAACTACTTACAAACCAAACTGCATGTGGGCTCATAATTTTATAGATTACAAAGCCCATAATAAAATAAGTCACATATGACAAAATGTAAATAACAATACCATCACTAGTACAATTAATTCAACTTATTACTACTGAGGTTTCCTATATATTTTGGACAGCTCAAACAAGACTGTTGCAGAAAATATTGAGTTCTTTCATGCAAGCTTTAATAACACAGACCTGCAAACTTAGACTTCATAAAAGTTTATTTGATTTTAATAACGGATTTTCCATAATTCAACTATGCAGATTTTGAAAATAATATTCATTTTTTCTATCATGTAAGGATTTTTTACAAATAGGGAAGATAAAAAAACTCTTACTTAGATCAAATTATTATTTCGTTTACCATATTGAACATTTTTAACTTTTATGTTTGTTAACAAAAAATACAAACAAGCTGAAGAAAAGGGAAGAACACTGATGTCAAATGAATATGCATCCTCATTCATCCTGATATTTTTTATGAAATCTAAGTCTTTTACTCTCAAAAGTACATGTTGTGGTCTTTCTTTTATGTATTCTCTTATGTTTTGTGAAAAATCTGTATGTGATGGAGAAAAATGGATATCATTATGGGATTCAGTATACAGGAATTACTATAGAACATGTAAAAGTTTCAAGACAATAAAACCATTGCAGGCCTGTGTTATGTAGCTCCTACTCTTTCTCTAAAGAAAATTTTACAATTTAATCTGTCAATGATTTTAATTATTAATATACAAAGAAGTATACTTTCAAAGGTGAACTCATGGCAGAAAAATGAAGGATCATATTTAAAACCTTACAAAATGTGACAGTTATTTACACACCTACAACTGTTTTATTATACAAGTCAAAATCATGTTAAAAATACCCTATGTGAGAGAATCAGGAAAAAAAAGAAGATACAAAAAGAAAAAAAGTCAGACACTGACACTTACGGACAATATGTACATTACCAGGGTCAACATCACTTCCCCATGAGGCTTGACTGCTTACACTAGTTGGACTATGACCATAGAAACCACTAACGTCTGCTCTAGACTTCTCAATCTCTTCTTCATTGGACGAAATTTTTCGAAGTCGTTTATTCCTTGGTTGAAACGATGGACTAGCTGGGTGGTTAGTCACCTCAGGGTTAATCATGCCCACTGGTGGATGTCCCCCAACTCCAAGGCCTCTGTAGTCTGCAGAGGATGAATAGTTGTTGGAATAATAAGAAGATGATTCCATCTTGACAATGTTGAGAGGAAGTTGTGTATCATTTGTGGGTTGCATTATGGAATCTACACAAATGAACAAACAGAAACAAGAAAACCAAGTAAAAAATAAACTTAGTGACCTGTTTAATGTTTGGGTGTGTCTCAGGTTGGCAATGTTTTTCGTTTAACTAGTGTACAACTAGACTCTCCATCTGTGAATCTAACCACAGAATATACTGTAGACAATATAAATCATCCTAGAGATCTAGCCACAGAATATACTGTGGACTATATAAGTCCACCTACAGAATTAGCCACAGAATATACTGTGGACTATATAAATCCACCTAGAGAATTAGCCACAGAATATACTGTGGACTATATAAATCCACCTATAGATCTAGCCACAGAATATACTGTGGACTATATAAATCCACCTAGAGAATTAGCCACAGAATATACTGTGGACTATATAAATCCACCTAGAGAATTAGCCACAGAATAT